AGCCTTGAGCAACCTGTTCCTGAAGGCGAAGACTGGCTGTGGACTCAGAGCAAGCGAGTGGCACACAGGACTGGGGCGTTTCAGCGTAGACTGACAGAGTGGTCTCTGGGTATGCTGGCAGAGTTTAGCATGTGGCTTCTGCTCGGAGCTGCCTTGCCTTGCTATTTATCTGTTTTTCTTGGTGAATGTGCCAAGGTCTGTTTTCCTGCCTTTCAAGCATTAGCCCTGGACAGAGGTGCCAATCTACCCAGGTGTTCTCCTCAGTGCAGATGCTGCTCCCTCAGTGGGGCTGGTAGCAGGGGTGACACTGGCTGGCTCTTCTTGCGATCGACCGTGGGCCGTGGTGCCACTGCCCAGTCTTGTCCTCCACACTTGCCACACAGAGTTAGGGGCTCCCTGCCTCACTGTGGTCTCTCTGCAGTGCCTCTGCGGGGCCCCAGAGTGAGCTCTGGGCTCAGGGATCAGCACTAAGCTAGCTGTTTCGACAGCGAGTCCCCCCACTTTGTTCCAAGCCCATGGCAAAAACTGAAAGGAAGACCACCCCTTTTCCTGCATTTCGATGTGTGAAATGCAGTTGCTATTTCAGAACTAGCAAACTATTTTCCAGTGAAACAGGTATAACACAACACGCCTTCCCACCAGCAGTCTCCTGTCCAACCACCGCATCGACGCCGGCTCTCACCATCTCACCGTGTACTTCTCTTCTGAGTCTGCCACCCCCACGGGGTGGTAGGCTCCCAGGGGGACAGGCTTGTCCTGCCCCCTCCCCACAATGTCCAGAGCATTAATGAGGGTTGGCCATGCAGCAGACTCAATAATAATGGAAAATCAAAGACACAAGAGGCAAAGCAAAAAGATATCCAGATCATTAAACAGGTTGGTAGAACTTGAGGTCAACGTTGATACATTAGTTAGGAATTGTAACATTTGAATTGGGAATGCTTCATTGTAATATGACTATTCTGCAAAATCAAGAGAAGCATCCAAACAGATATTCCAACTAACAGGAGTTGGGTAAGGTGGTTGGATTCACAAAATGCCAAAAGTAGCAGCTCCCTTATATCTCACCAATTAGATGACATAATAGACTTCCCCCTCGCAATGCACCCGAAGTGATAAATGAACAGAATGGATTAACGAGACCAGACAAGATCTACATGAAGGAAAACACCAAACTTTACTGGGGAGTGAAAAACAAATTTGAGTGGACCGGGTAAGAACTGTGTTCCATGATAAGAAACTCAGCATAGGGAAGATGCATCCCTCTGCACCTAACTGACAGCCGAACAGCAACGCCAACTAAGATCGGCACGGGTGATTTGGTGGCGGGAGAGAGGTTTGAGGTTCATTAAAAAATAAATAAACGAACAGGTAACAGTGGCCAAGAAAAACTCGGGGGTAAAGGAGAAGCTGTAACTCTACCAGACGGGAACGTAGCCAGGAAGCCAAGACAACCTGCGAACAGAGCCAAGGCAAGGCAACCTGCAACCGTGGGTCCCGCGGAGTGGACTCCAGGGGCCAGAGCAGGTATTAGCAAAGGTTCAGCTGCGCAACGAGGACACGCAGGCTCATCAGAGAGGGGGACGACTGGCAACCTACTGCTACTTCCTGTCACACACATGGATCCACACAAGTCAAAGGTAGACTGGAGACTAATCATGATTTGGAACAAGGGAACAAAACAATAATAAACCTGTAAACTTGGATGTGCACATCTATCAACTGTGTGAAATGATTTCAGACTTATTGAAGCTTTCTATACAGTTTAAAATGGAAACCTACAAGTATAAGACTCATGATTTCATTATATAGAAAAAAAGGGGGGAAAATCTCTATATGGAAATAAGACCGTAACATTTACAAAGCAAATAATAAACTGGGGAGCTATTTGACGAATATATTATAAACTATTAATATCCTAAATATAAAAAGAGTCTGACACATCAGTAAGAAAAAGTCAGGTACCTAGTGAAAAAATGGCAAAGCATAAATTTAAATGGCTGCAGGAAACACGGTGGCCATGGAGCGTCCAGGAGGCTCAGCCTCACTCCCACCCAAGCAATCCGGAGACAGCAGGAGCTACTGTGATTGGATCAGCCTAGATGATGTATGATGCCCAACAGGAGCACCAGCCAGTACGCGAGGTGGCATGGCGCTGGCCGTTGGATGGACGGCACTGTGTGTGACTCTTTCTGGAGGTTCACGTGGAACCATGTGAGTGGTGCTGCCCACTGACGGGGTCACTCTACTCACAGCGTTTGCTCTCCAGCAATAACAGGTGTCAGGTATCATTTTGCAGATTAAGGTTCAGCGGGTCTGTGCATGCCAGGCCCACGCGGGTGCCACCGTCACCAGAAGGGAAGGCACACGACGCTGATCCAGGTCAGCAACACCAAGATCAGACAGCAGGGGGGGGGGAAAGCACAGGAAGCACAAAGGCTGGCCGGCCTCTCCAGCTGACCCAGAAGCCCCAAAGAGCCAAGCAGCAGCATTCCAAGGAGTGGAGGGCGGAGGGTGACAGGAGTGGCCCAGGAAGGCCGTGGCGAAGGGCTCCAGGCCCACGCTGGCCGAGAGCTGTGCCACCTCAGCGCTGGGCCGCTTTACTGCAGATTCACCTTGCTGTGCTGGAATCCCCATGCAGAGAGCATGAGCGTGTTATGAATGATTTCAGATACAGGGAGCTCATTTTCCAAGAGTAATTTGGAGTATGTGAAATCTCAAATCGTAAGGCTTTAATTTCTTAAGCAAGAAAGAAGGTATCATTTTGCAGATTAAGGTTCAGTTTAGGAGGCCGGTGTAAATTAAAATGCCACAACGTTTTAATGAAGTCCCTGCCTCCTCCAGGAGGGCTGATGCCACCCCAAGCTGAGGGGCGTGGCCAGAGGAGGGATCCTCATCCTGCCCAAACCCTTGCACTTGCCGGACACCAGGGTCTCATGGAGAATGAGACTGGGCCTTGGGAATGCCTTCTGGAAACAGCTCCTACCCGTGAAGGAGGGTGACATCACCCACCCCATGGAGGTGGTATGGGGTGTGTGTGGCCGTTTGCATTTTTATTTATGATGAAAACATTTAATTTTCCTTAGGACAATGGATTTCAGCACCAGGTGCTCCAGTCTCAAGCCTGAGACGCTCAAGGTCCCCATCTTACCCACTCCACACCTCTCCACTCCTCAGGGCTGCTCCCTTGTCTTGTGTACCCAGATTCCTGTCCCTGGTCCCACTCCAACACAGACGTCCTGAGCAGGGGCCCCTGGCTCACCTCCTGGATGGGGCGCACCCTACCACAGTGGACCCCACTCCTTGGGTCCCTGTGGCCTGCCGTGCGGGGCTGCATCTGGTTTTTTTTGTCTCTCCCCCATATGAGGGTGAGGATCTCTAGGGTGGGGATCACGTCTTACTGACTGTGCCACTGGGGCGGAGGACAGCGGCAGGGACACGTCAGCAGCTCGGTAAGTGGCTCTACCTGGCCATCTGCAATGTGAACACACTTCCAGATACCAAGCCGCACGTCACTAACACACGCAAGTTTTGCTCATTAACAAAGAAGAGAACATGACAGGTCACAATTTATCTAGCAGGTGTTTCTGCACTTTGTCAGAAAACTTCCCATAAATTTTTTTTTTTAATAGAGGAGACTTGATTGACATCTGTTGACTTGAACAAATACATGGATAGATGTCACGTGGTCAGATGGGAGGTGAAATGGCTGGCCACACAGGGGCCAGGGCTCCCCCACAGCACAACGGCTCCCGCCCGGCGCTGGTGCTCGAGGGCACTCCTGTCAGATGGACGCCGCTGAGACGTGGGGAGTGGCGGGGTGTTCTACTCACTGTACAACCCTTTTCCTCCTTGCCCTTCTTCCCTCTCTTCCCACCCAGTCATACACCACTCCAAAAAGGGAACTCTCACGGACATTTTGGGAGAAAGGTCAGCAGGTCACAGGAAGCCACGTGGAACCACCTCCTGGCCTTTCTGGAGGAAGTCAGCTTTCAGCCTGATGCGCAGCAATAGCATCTTCCCGTGGTCCCTCGCCCTGTGCCTCCCCACGTGCTGGCCTGGCATTGCTCTCTGCCCCTCAGTGACCTGCACAAGGCCCCTGGCACTGTGAGGTGGAGCCCAGGTGGGCTGCCCCCAATTCTGATTCCTGCTTACCATCCCCTTCAACCACCAAGGTCGTTCACACCACCCTGCAGTCCGCACCATCCCTCCCTAGGAGCACCGAGCGTCTCGGACGGGCCACGCGGCATCCTTACAGAGCCAGCCCTAGGCTGGAGACTGCTGTCTGGGGAAGAACTGGCTGGGGGAGGGGGAGAAGAAAGGGACCTTTGCTGGAGGAAACAATGAGATTCCACGTGCTGAAGGTGCCCAAGTGCGTCCCTGGAGGTGCCCTCACCCCTTCCCGGTCATCAGCAGTCACAGGAAGGTGGAGGCCACCATGCGGTCGTTGGCACAGATTCCGACATAAAGCCAACAATGGCACGGAGGGCTCGCACCTGCTCCCCGAGGCCAGGAACAGGCAAACACACTGAATTTTGAGAAAACACCAACTCTCTATAATCCTCAATGAAAAAGGAAGATTCCCCTTTAAAAGAGAATCAGGAGAAGGCATGTGGCAGTAGAGAATGTCAAATGGTAGGTAAAACAAACTGGAGAGGACTGAAATCTAGGTAGGCCCAGTGTTTCCTTAAACATTGCCCCAAAAGTTTTTCTGCTTTTGTCCACAGAGTTACCAGGCTGGTTGATCCTTGATACTTTATTGATTAGTTCTGTTCCTTTGAAGGACAGCCCTTAGGTACCAATTCCGATCACCCGATGCTTGGTTTGTGCCGCGGACACTGCAGCATTCGGAGCCCAGGGGCACAGGGAAAATGATCAGCCCCTGTCCACACCTAGGGGCTAACGACTCCACCGGGTCTCAGAAGCCCAACTTGCCCACCAGCCACACCGTCTGTCATCGATGTCCCTCTTGGTTTCTCAGGTGTCTGCGGTGAGCTTACCTGAATTTGGTGAGATGTGCAAACTGCTCATGTCCTTGGACAGGCCATTGGTTTTGGGGCTGGAGATGGGCGCACAGGCCGACGTGGCTCGGGGTGGCCTCTTCCCTGGGACTTTCACAGTGGTTCTCAGAAGGTCAATCTCTTTACCGTGAACATTCTGCATGTAATCCTGTTCAAAATGTTAAACACCCAAGAGAGATTAAAAAGAGGACCTCTACAATCTAGGACATGAGGTTCTATCAGACGTCAGGAGCTATAATCCCGTGACCCTGCCACTGTGGAAAGCATTTTCAAAATAATGAGGTTTTCATCTGTCTGGTGTGGGCACGCCACCATCCCCTTTCAATCCAGGTTTTGCATCTGTGTCCTGAGCTCACCCAGCACCAGAAACACAGAGTGACCTGGTAGATGCTTCCCTCATGTTGGAAGTATACACACAAACTCCTATTTTTAAAACTTATTATTAGGTGGCATATGAGGGACCTGGATTCATCCTATAAATTCTAGGAAATATTTTCTGGACTCTGACAGTTATTTCCTGATCCTTTCTGCCTCAGCTGAGAATACTGTTCAACTTCCAGGGAGACTGGCTGCGTGGTGGGAATCCAGGAAAGCTGCGTGCAGAGCTGGAGGGCTTAATTAGGGGCAGGGAGGCAGGAGTTGAAGGATCAGTGGGTTCGTGGAAGGACAGGAGGAACCTGATGTTCCCGAGCATGTGCATCACTTGGTCCCTGAGTTCTAGGCTTCTCCCAGAAGTCCACCTGCTGTACTCAGAAAGGCTTCTGCCCTCTGGACGGTGGAGGCAAGAGACCTACAGTCATCAGAGGGGAGCCTAGGTAAAAGGGGAGCTCTCTGTGCAGTCACTTAACACCTCACTGTGGAGCAGAACACCCCGGAGAAGCAGGTGATGGGTGGGGAGGCAGAAGGTAGAAAGGCAACCGCTATGGTTTGGAAACTGTCCCCCAAAGACTGACATGTCATAAAGATTGGTCCCCAATGTGCGGTACTACTGGGAAATGGGAAGACTTTAGGAGGCAGTTAGGTCAGTGGGGGTGTGTCCTCAGAGGGGACACACCCAGGACCCCTCCTGTTCCGCCCTTTGTTTCCACGAAGTGATCAGGCACCCTCTGCCACACACTTGTGCCATGCTGTTCTGACAGGACCAAGCAACCACGGGCCACGCCCTGAAACCATGAGCCAGAATGACCTTCTCTTCTTGTAAGTCGACTATCTCAGGTGTATGTTGTCAGAGTAAGGAAAAGCTGACTAAAGCAGCAACCAAGAGGCAGGGTGGAGGGTCTGTTGGTGAATCAGGGTTCACTATTGTCAACGAGGCACTATTTTCCATTATTATTTTTGATATGGGAATGAGCTGAGCTTCCTGGTGGACAGAATATTTTAAGCACTCTGGACACATTAACTGAATCACACATTATGAAATGACACAGACTAGGTCGCCCTTCGATAAGTGACACTTCAAGTGTTTTAAGACTAAGCCGGAAGGAGGAGTAAACATCTTTCTCTGGCAGATTCTTGAGGATTACTTTTAGATTCGTTTTCATTATCTGTGACTAAGGTCAGGGGAGTGTAACTTTAGAACTGCCAGACAATCCTGAGTCTGGCTGCAAGGGGCCCAGGCAGGCTGGGAAAGCGAGCTGATGGCCCGTAGCTTCCCACACGTGGCTGACCGACGTGGAAGAAAACCAGATAGCAGCAGAGCACCGGGGAGGAGGCCTCGGCCAGTCCAGGGGAGTCAGGTAGGCACGGGGACACCGGTCAAGGCAGGGAGCCAAGAGAAGGCTCCTTGGCTTCAGGGAAAGAGGCCGTGACTTCTAACTGAGCTGCAGAATGGTGTCCATGGTCAGCAGGTGGAGGGGTGGAGGAGCCTCTGGTTTGTCGACATGCAGGAAGCTTGCTCGCTGGAGGGATGGTGTGACAGTGACCAAGAGGCCAAGATTCCAGCCTGGGGGACAGGCAGGTAAGCATGGGTCCAGGACGCAGGTGAGCAGAGCTGCCCTCTCACCACCCAACGGCGAGCGGGAGGGGTGGCTGGGGAGTCACCAGTGCAGACCTTTCTGCAATTGAGGGGGGCACAAAACAGACTCCAGGAAAAGGTGATGGATTCCCCGAGGAGGAGGGTGGGAACCCATGAGTGAGGGGAGAGGCTCAGAGGGGAGGTACAGAATTCTGCAGGTGCTCAGGGACCAGACCTGCAGGGCCCTGGCGACTTCCCGCAGACAGACCACAAACGGCCGACTCTTAGTCCAGGACACAAGCTCCAAAACTGAGGCCAGGACCAGGAGGACCAGCGTGACTGCAGGCCATGGGGAGGGGTCAGAAGCTGTCCCCCGTGAGGCCGGGCCTTCCTCAGCAGAGGGTCCGATACCCAGAGAAGGTGCTGGAGTGCACACCTCTGACACCAGCCCAGGTGGGGCAAGCAGCAGAGGCAGGAGCCACCTGATGTCCTCAGGGCAGGCCAGCAGGGGTCCACAACTGCCCCCTTGGAGAGCGGAGGTGGAGGAGGGAAAGCAGAAGGTTGTCTCCAGGCTGGGAATCAAAAGCCACTGAGAGAGGACCCCACATCAAAGACCAGAAGCCAGACTCCCCCGAATGTAATTGACTATGAGAAAAGATGTGGTAAGGAAAGGATGTGGAAAGATGGGGGAAATGCTGTTATTGTTCAATCAGATTGACAGCCAAGGAAGGCTGGGAGAAATGCAGGGGATCAGAAATGCTGACAGAGCTCAGCGTGGAGGAGGGCCAAGGAAACGCCCGACGGAGGAGAGGGTGAGCCTTGGTTGGCGCAGGTCATTTAAAAGAATGGTTGTTCCCACACATCTTAACTGACTTCCTTTAACGTCCGCCCCAAATACTCAACTCCAAGTTTCAAAACCAAAGTTAATGCTTGTAAATAATGGAATTCCTTCTTGCATAGTTACTCCTTTAAAAATATCAACTTGCTATAACTTTCTCCTTTAATGCCAATTCTTAACAAATTAAAATACAATAACAGGAGTGTAATTGAGCATTTATTGCTTATGAGCTCTAAAATGAGGCTAATCAGAGAGTGACTAAGCCTCAGCGTGGGCTCTTTTAATAGGCATGTTTTAACATACAATAACCAGGATATTTTATTTAAAATTATTATAGAAATGTACCAAGTGTCTGCTCTCTGGATTTGAACGTGGCAAGGGAAGACATTTATCTTCAGCTCAGCATGGGCTAGGGTCTGCGTTCTCGCCTGAGTTAGGCGCTGAAACTTCAGACGGACTGGCTCTAGAATATCAGAATATCAATTTGACAACTACTTTATTTCAAGCCACTAAAAAAAAAATGCTAAGTGTTTACAAAGTACAACTCCCCCGAAGTCCTCCAAGCTGGTGCTTCATAAACACTGGGAATGCGAGGACACTGGGGTCTGTGGCTTCGAGATTCTCCCAAGAGAAAGCGCACTCAGTTTTCTACTTTGGAAAGAATTCACCCTTTTCATCTTTCCCCAGTGTGGCCCTTGAGCAACAGGAGCTGCAGCCACTAAACAATGTTGTATCCTCAGAGGCAGGACACAGAGCGCCTTCCTAGGTCTGGGGTAGGGAACTCGCTGGGTCAAATAAAGATGGCAAGCTTGATTTTGATATGCAAATGTCACAGATACTACCCTGTGCAACTAACCCTGTTCCTTGTAGAAAATGCTGATCGAAGATAAAAGGGGAAAGATCCCTTTAACAAGGCATGAGGGTAATTCAAAGCCAAGTACTTTTAAACAGCACTTAACAAGTCCCTGGGGCCCACTCAAGAGCCAGGCCCCCCAGAGGTGCCATCTCCTGCCCCTCAACAGCTTGAAAAAGTAGTAATTGCAAACCTATTTGCATTTTTCTTCTCAAGTTGTCCATGCTCATCATGTGGATTATTTTTTCCAAGCAGGCGCCTGAGCAAAGGGACCCGTTCTGAGCGTGCCAACAGCTCCATAACGGTGCCTGCCGTCCCCCGCACCCTGCCCCCGCACCTTTGCCATCCCTTGTTTTTTACATTTCGCTCCTAATTATGTTGCATCTATTGCCGTACACTTAATTAGCTGCATTAATGTGATTTCTTTTCACATAGTCAAGCAATTAAGAGCTATGATTGAGTTTCATTCAATTAGCCTCAACAAACATGCTAATTGATGTCCCAGATGCAAATGAGGTGCAATGAGAGAAACCTGCTAGCAATTGAGAGCCATGTCAGAGACCCGGAGCTTTCAGCTTGCTGACAGAAGCACAGCTTAACGCGGCTCCCGCCTTCTGCGGAGCTGCCATAGGAGAAGGATGTGGGGCCATTAGCGCCTCCGTGTACCAGATCACTCCTGATACGGAGAATTAATTGATTCGCTTCTGTACAGTGTTGTCCTAAAAATTCGCAGTTATGTGTTCCCAGGACTGGGAGGTTATCCACTGGGTAACGGGTGCTCCAGCGAGCGGAGTGGTGCAAAGTCCTCATCGACATTCGGTAACGAGACCACCAGAAAGACACAGGAGACTCTCCCCAACTACACACCACCACCGGCAGTCCTGCAGCCCTCCGTGCGTGATGGCCTATTCAGTTCTCAGTAAATGGGGAGTTCATCTTCGTCAGCTCTGGGGCATCTGGCACTTGAGTTAAGCTCAAAACACAGCAATCCATCAATAGTCCCTAAAAATATCTTAGTATATTGATTCTCACTGCCTCAAATCCGGAGGTTACCTTTGGCTGTCTGGAGAAGGATGGTTTGCTGATGTATTCATAGAGGTACCAAAAGCAGTTAGCAAGATCTTGAAGCTAAACTGAAATGCATAAACCATCTGCCTGGCATCTCAAAACCAGACCTTCAGAAAAATGCAATAAGGCTTTGAAAATCTGACAGCTTAAATTCTACTTGCTTTAAATACAGATAATGTAATCAACATACTCCATTTTATCTCTGCTTTTTTAAAGAATTAAGACTCTTATAATTAAATGATGATGGACAAAATAAAGCAAATTTTGGTTCCAATCAAGTTTTCCCAACATGTTCTAGTTTCTAATGATACATGTATTCATAAATTAAGTCTTTTTTTTTTTTTGGTATTGGAAATTGAATCCAGGGGCATTTTATCACTGAGCCCCTAGCCCTTCTCAGTTTTTATTTTGAGACAGGGTCTCACTAAGTTGCTG